AGAGGTAGGATTAGGTCTGAGGAGTTTGGTCCAATGTATGAAACTAAGGAGAATAATAAAGTATATCTGTTCTTGTGAAAATATTAAATAATTTTATAGATATAAACTTTATTCAAACCATTAGCTGTATCTAATCCAATACAGCTAAGTGACTTTATGTAATTTAAAAAAAAATTTGTATATAGGCAAACATGAATATTAAACATTCATATGAACACTGTAGTGACTGAAATTCCTATATTCCTAGGAGATTTCAAGTAAGTATGTGTATAAAACAAGAGTGTGTTAAGTAGTCGTCTGTAAAATGCAGATTGATTTATACTGGTTGAAAAAATAAGTCTCTCCATTAACAAGATTTTGATACTAACCATCCTGAGAATTCCTTGCTTCAGATACTGGAATCTGGGTTCTGTCCAGGTCAGTAATATGATAAAGATCATCAAATTCCCCCCAGCGCGCCATTCTCCTGAAAAGCAACACATCTTCAAAGTAATATCAGTTCCATTTGTATTAAAGTCTATGGTGGTTTTCAGATTTACAATATTAGTATAGTAGACGTGAACTTTCTAGGTAGACGTATTATCCAAAGTTGTACAATTTTGTGATATTATTAAACTATATTCATAATGGAGCAATCAGTATGTGATTTACATACTTCCTGTAATTTGGGGGGGGAATATATTTTGATGTCTTAACATAATAATTCACGTCCAATTTGAAACACAAAGTTATATAATCAGGTGGTAGGAGACAATATGATCCATTGTTATACTATAAAAATATTGCACAATATCCTGAGCAGAGTTTAGTCATAAATCTTTAGTCCACTAATATGTGATGAGTACATATTGTAGGAAGAATTTCCAAATTTTAGACTCTAAAATAGACACTTTGGCAATTTTTAAAGCCTTCAATGAATGCAATTTATAAAATAGGAAAAAGAAACAGAAATTTCTACACTAGAAAATGTGATTTTATAAAGAATCCTAGCAATTTTCAACACATTCTAGTGTGTAGAATAAATGAAACTAGACAGCTGCTTATTTTTACAGCAGGCTAATACACATTTGTATTCTGTTTATCTAGCCTGAAATGAGTTACTTATCCTCTCTTGGCTTCAGTGTCCACATCTGTAAAACAGGAGTGATAATGAGATAGGATAAGGCAGTTGTAAGGATTAAATGAACTGATTTGTGTAAAAACCTTCAAACCATGCTCTGAACATAGTCAGCTGTCAGTATGTATTTTACAAATTATCACAATATTCTTGTCTTTGTTGTCATGACAATAATCCCCGTATCCATTTCATGATGGGTCCACTGGGGAGTCCCACTCATTCCTGGATCTCTTTCAACAAATGGATGCTATTATCTATGGGAACCGTCAGTCCCACTAGACCTCTTCCATAGG